AAATTGTATAAAAAAATATATGTATAGGTATATATAAAAAAATTGGGTACTCAAAAATTAATATTCTTACTTTGACTTTCTGTATGATCACTAAGTGATCGGAATCACGCTTTACTTCGTTGATATATTGAGATACGTCGATCATTGCCTCTTTGGCACGCTCCAATGCGCGGTAATCCTCGTGCACCTATAATTAAGGGTATTCACGCTAATAGATAATAATATTCAAATACTTAATAGTTGTAATTTATATTTCTTAGTAATGTAAATAAATCAGCATTTTTTTTTTTAATTTTTCGACCTTTGAAATAGCAAAAAACTTACCGGTGAGGTTTCTTTGACTAGTTTATCTAATAGTAAATGGTATTTGAGAATTCGCTGCATTGGTACCGATAAAATATCACGCAGTTGCAATTTGCCCACATTGTATTCACGCTCACATTGCTAAAAATGAAATTATATAAATAATATTTATTACCTCCGATAAGAGTCTAAACCAAACGCAATTTAAAAACTGACCTGCACAAGTTGCTCAATAATCTGATTCTTCTTGCAGACATCGGCCAGCACATCGATGGCACCCAACAGACAGGAACAGTATTCGCCATAGAGCAGGAATGGCTCACGGAACTCCAAAAATACTTGACTCATTTTCACTTTGGCATTGGGCGAGAGAGATTCACGCAGTTTTTCCAGAAACCTTGTGTGGATATCAGCGAGTTCCTGCAGCAGAATTTTTTTTTTAAATTGTTATAATAAAACATTTTTGCAAAATATATGATACCAACTTACTCGTATGCGTGGAAATATTTGCTTAATTTCTTCCGGATTCAGGTAGCGTTCGAGTGGCGTCATGAATTTTGTCTTCAAGGCATTCAGGACATCAAGATAATTCGACTCTGTGTCGATCAGTTCGCGTATAACATAATCACGTTGCTCGAAACTGGTGGCTGAGGTGATCTGAGTTGGATTCAGGAGTAGGAAATTATTATTTTTTATTAAAAACATATACATAGAAGCAAAAATAAACATGTATAAGCATTATAATATTTAAAATCGCAGGCAATAGACATAAAACATGCGTATTAACAAAATATGTATGCCTTTTATATAATAACTTATACCAAAGTCATAAAATATATATATGTATTTTTTTTTTTTGTGATTTTGGTTTTGTATTATATGTATATATTAAACCTATAATATATTAGTTTTACTATTCAAATATTTAAAGTTCAAAACTTCACAAAACCAACTCCAAAAATAAATATACTATAAAACTAATATATAAATTTAATTTGATTTATAAAAATAAATAATAATAAACATCAAATTAATACCTGACTTCTACTGGTTCTTTGTAAAGCACACAAATCTTGATATACTTCCTCTTCTTTGGTGTTTATATGATCGTTGTGACATGCATTGTTGTCGGTGGTACTGTTGTTTCATGTAATCATTACAATTCAGCGCCAAACCAATTAAAACGTAAGGTAATCCAATTTAGATTTTTGAAAACCAAGCGTTAAAATGAAATAAAAATAAAAAATAAATTAGAAATTATCTTTGTCGAATTGTAATAAAATAATATAAATACATTTTTTATAGAAAATATAACAAATAAATCCCTTCGTTTAAATTTTTAAACAATATGGGGTTAGAAAATATTATGCGCTTAAATATTTTAATTCTACTTTTGTATTTACTATTATTAACATAATAAAACTTAATATTTACGAACATATTTGAATTAATTGGATTTTTTTAATTAAAGCAAAAGTGGCAATAAACATTATACTACATAAATTGTTTAAACAAGCATGCAAAATGAGTTATTATTGATGTTGGGAAATATAGCCAAGTTGGCAGTCCTTTGCCGAATATTATTCGACCAGGGGCTGTAGTTACAGCGATTTAACACTGTCTGGATAGGGAAATAGCAAGTAAGAGTCCTTTACCGCAATTAGCCGAGCCAGTTCCGGTTACATAGGCCGCCTGTCTTTGGAACGGCAATAAGAGTTATTCAAGTGATTCGCTTCATACACAAAACTGACTAAGATATAACAGATTATAACAAAAATAAGTGAACGAAACCTAACCTCAATACTCCTTAACTTTCACAATCACAGCGGCCAACATCAAGCCATCCAGACGACGTGCGCAAATAATCCACAGCCAACCAGTACTCGATACGCTCCTATAGCTTTACGCCATAACAATACTGCACTAAACACTTTTTCGTAACTTTGCACAAATTTTTATTAATAATTTTAGTTTATTTAAATAACAAAAAATATTTATGCTTTAAGAGGACAAAATTCTTATGGACGCGCTTAAAAGCGGAAATTTTTGCCGTTTGATTGCTATTAAAAATGTGCAACAGTTGCCAAGCCACTGTATATTTTGAACATTACATTTTTAACAGATAAGGTGAATTAAATAGCAGAAAACGATAAACGTGCTCTGTCTATGATATGCGTTCTCTGATTTTTTCTATACTAGGAATACAACTCTCCAATCTAGTACAGACAAAAACCGAGCGCTGAACTGTACCTACTTATAATAACGTACGTTCTTGTTATATTTTATACGGTCTCTGTGACATCAGAGAGCGAATGACATGTAAGGCGGAATGTCAAAAAATGCATGCGGATTATCTTCACATGGGGTTCTGACAGACAATTCTACAATTGGTAGTCGAGTACATTAGGATTTTAGGAAAGTCGTATAAAAATAAAATTAATGCAATAAAATAAACAAAAACAGTCTAAGCAAAGTGTAAAAATATTGCAGGCAAAAGAGCAAATCATGCCGCGTTAATTGACAATGGAATTACACTCGTATGCGAAACGAAAGGTCGCGAAAAAATGTAAGCTGAAAAAGTGTGCAACCATGTCTGGATTTCAGTTGTTTGTACAAAGAAAATTGTGAAATTTTTCCATTCGTAAAACTATATTTGCAGGGTCAATTGATCAAAAACGACAACTTGTTGAAGCACGCATCAACCACGATGGACTATTCACGAACAAAGCTACGACCAGTGTAGCACCTTGGAAGTAAGTTACATTTTTAGCGAAATTAATACATGTAATTTACTATAATATTAATTTTTGTAGAAAAATCTTGAGTTTGGCCAAGTTAGACGACTACAATGTGTACTTCGTACGCAAACAGTGGTCGAATATGGTCAACAAATACAAACAATATAAGGTATGGTACCCCGGAAACATTTTGTGGTGCACTTTTTTTTTTTTTTAACATTCCACCCATTTATAAACAGTTGAACCGTCTGGATGTGATACCAAATGGCGCACATGATCTTGAAGAGATACAAAAAATTACGCAGGAATGGGAATTCTTTGAGCCAATACACCGTTTTATGTCGTACAAAACCACCAATTTGCATTCATATGCGCTCCCAATAACTATACGTCTACCAGTACCACCTACGGCAGATGATGAAGATGATGGTAGCTCTATTTCTTCCGCCGATCATCATGACGCGTTCAGTAGCGATACGAATTATGACTTCAATACGGCAGACGAACCAAATGACATAAGAGAAGCACAACCAAATACAGATCATGATTTTTATACCAAGAAAAATGGACTACCTTTGAACTACTTTGCTGACGAGAGCAATGATACACAGGAATCCATGTTGGTTGAACAACCAATAACATGTAATGGTGTTACCGAAGGTATGGAACAAGTAAGACTGCATGTAGCAGGTGAACAAATTATCGAAATGAAAATGGAACAATTTAGCGAAGCGGAAAAGACTATCGACCCAGGGCGACCACCAGTTTACATAGAAGAGAATGCACAAATGCCGAGCACATCTGCTGCTGGTCGAATGAATAATTGCCCAAGGCGTCCAAAAGAACGACCGCTTAGCGAAAGGGAACGTTATTACCGACACAAACGTCGCTACAATCGGCGACTTGAGCGACGTTTCGATGCCCTCCTCAACGTATTCGGGCAAATAGTCAAAGCTGAGTATCCAAATATCAATGTGAGTCCTTTAATTGGCGCCGCCACACAAGGCATTACACTGGCAAATAATCTTTTCAAGAGTGAAAATGAAAGTGATAGTGCCGATGAGGAAAATGGGTCATCAAGCGATACAGAACGTATGCCATTTAACACGGCGGTAGGAGGTGGAGCCAGTGAAGCATTTGGTAATGATGGTCGGGCAGAACGCTAATGATATAATCAAAAAAAAAAAAAAAAAAAAAAAATAATTATATAAAAATTATAAAAGTGAAATTTAGGTGAAAAAAGAGTGTTTAGCTAAATTTATGACGCTTTGAGAATTATGACTGGGTGAATATTAATAAAAGAAAAAAATATTTTGTAATGTTTGAGTGTACACGTACATACTACATACTATATACAAAGCCGAAATTCACCAAATAAAAATTATATTAAATTTTGTGGAAATTTACGAAGATTTGTTGAAGACTTTTTTGTGTTTGTCAAGTGAAAAGCAATAATTATTTGCATTGGGAGAACAAGAGAGCGTTTAAATCACCTAAAAGATTGCATTAATACTCGTATAATCATTATCACTGCAGGCTTTATCAAAGAGAGTAGTGTAACTCTTCAAAATTGTCTAATAGGCGCTGAGCTGCAAAAGCCGCTGGTAGATAATGTGGGAATTGCAAAAACAACGTAATAACAAAACCAAATTTAATCCACTGAAATTCAAATTAGGTATCATGCAATTATAAGACACTTACATACATACATAAATCATTAGCTATATACATACATGTGCATTTATACTACACAAGCTAAACACTAAACAAAGCATAAAAAACGCAGTTAGAATACTTCAAAAAGCTCTGCCAGCCAGAGAGTGGGCACTTAATTCATAAATATTTTGTAAAAACAGAAAAAAGTGAAATGCGCTTCATTTGCATTCTCAATGGCGGAGCATTTAGAAGTACGCGAACAACCAACAACACAACTGCCAACTTATGTATGTATGTATGTATGTAAAACGAAATCCGTACGATAAGGGACGTGGCTTGAACGTGGTTCTCAAGCAGATAAAAAGCATTCATGCAACAATGAAATTGTTGCACCGCCATAACAACAGCGGGAATAGGCATGTATGTATGTATGTGTTGAAAACAATCTAACTACAAAAGCCATTGAATTAAACGAGACACTGTATGTTCGCACGTGCACGGGTACAACTTTACATATTTATGCAAAATCTGGTGTGAATATTTTGCATACGAAATACATACAAATCTGTGAGAGTTCAAATAGGGTTGTCTGAAAAGTTCCATAAACGAAAGAAAATTGGTAGGACCTGAGATTACGTAGGACCTGCGGAGCTGGTAAAGTTTTCCTGCGAACCAATGAAAATATTTGTACCGAAACTTTTAGAATAGGAACATAATTAAGTAGTGAGAATTGGTACGACCCGAGATTAAGAGAGTTGCGGAGGATACTAAAAAGCTAGTAAAGCTTTACTGTGAGTCAATGAAAATATTGAGACCCAATTTTTTAGGTTAGAAAATTTCTCAGGTATTGGTTTACGAAATTAAAAAATTCTCAAATATATTGTGATATTGGAATAAGTTTTCAAGCTACATGAATTTTTTTGATTTCTGAAGAAGCATAAAGCGCTACAGAAGTCAAATATAATCGTGAGCTGTGGACGGGTTGACAATTTCGAATTTCCACAAACATGAAACCATAGAATTCCTTAGAAATTGTTTTTATTTACCACACCACACAGAGAACCCTATATAAAGAAATACATATGTATGTGTAAGGTTTGTAAGCAAATAGACGTACGCATGCACTCTTGCATGCAGTGTTTCACAATGTCTACATGTACGATGATAATAATATTTTGTTGGAGCGGAAACAAAAACAATAGGTAGGTAGTATGTAGTATATGGGTTGCTGTGCGCACCTCAGTTGCCTTCGATGAGAACGTGACGTAGCATAAGTCCTCGTAAACTTTTTCATCCTCTTCAAAGTAAATATCATTGAGATACTCGTGGCCACCCACTTCCCGGGCAGCCGCATGATAATTCCATGCTGTTGCAGCTAAACGCTGTAAGCTTTGGTTGTCACTCGAATTCGATGACGCACTCGTGGCACCCAAACTGTCGGTGACAGAGGTGGTGCTGCCGATGCTACTCCGTCCACCAACGGAAGTGCGAACACTATTAATGCCACTCAAATTGCCAACGGTAGCGCTGCGCGTATGCGCCGACGACGAATAAATACGAGCTGTCACAGCTGTACTACATGAACTGCCACTGTATGTGGATTTTTGTTCATCATCAATGGATTCCAGTAGATTAGTAGTGAATTCGTCTTCATATTCCTCGGTATCTTCGTTGCCATTCTCAATTGTGATGTCGCTATTCTCATCCTCAACCGAGAGCGAGCCACTAATCGAGACGACATCACCATTCTCAGCTTGACCGTCAATTGTTCCATTCTTTCGCGATTCGTCGCTACTTATATATACATATATATTTTTGGACACACGTGCGTATGACAGTTGTGCATTTGTATGACGTTTGATTATTTAGTTGATCGATTATTTAAATTGTTGATTGATTGATGCGTTTCACACAGCACCGAGTTGTTTGATGGGAAAAGTGTGGGTGTGATAGAAAAGGCAGAAAATAGAGTAGATAGTAGATAGAAATATTATACAAAGTTATGCTGTACTAAGTAAGTTGAGCAAACATACATATTGATATTTCAGGTCTGTAGGTATTAGTGGTGAGCCCAGGGTTTATTTTCAGTGAAAGAGAAAATATATTTACGTACTCGTATAACTGTTATACTTTGTTTTTGGTACTAAAATTATTTATAGGCATCTGACGCATTGCTCCGCTGCACTCGGCATTAATACACCAACAAACAATGGATAATTAAAAAGCGGTGTTGAATGCGTCAGCGCGCAGCATTACAGTTCTGCCCACTGTTGTTAGAGGATTTCAGTGTCATTATGGTATATTTATGTTAATGCAATGTACTAAAAGGTGGGAAAATAATATTTATTCTGGACTTCATTTACTTACGTTGAATGGAGATCCTTGTAAATGGCCTCATCGGAGTGGGAGCGTTCGCTAGGTGAAAGCTGTATGTTGAAACCACTGGAAAAATAAAATAAATAGAATTATTTAAAATATATTTTTGTTTTAACTTATATTATTATGGATTTAATTATTAAGGAAGCGCACTAACATTACGAAAATTTTGGAAAAAAATTTTATTTCCGAATATTACATTAGATTAGATTAGATACATAAATGAGGATTGTACCCCGACCTAATAGACCATTGTGCGCTCTCCTAAGTTCCAACAACTCACTAAGCCCCAGCATATTGATAAATTCCAATATACTACCAGGTGTTATTGAGATGATGTGATCCCTATTTAGAAACATGGATTCAAGAGCATTTATCCTGCGTTTACAGACTGCTGTGCAGTTAATTTTCAGGTGTTCTGGAGTTTCTAGCACCATGTCGCATAACCGGCAATTTGCATAAGTAACTGGGCCCTTGTCATGTAAGTGCTTCTTGAGCTTACAATGGCCAGTGTAGAAAGCGACAAGTAGTCTGAGTTTGTCCCTTGGGAGTTTAATTACATATTTAAATCTTTTAAGAAACTTGGCATGGGGCATGACCCAGATAAGATGCACATGGTTACGTTCTTGTAGACTTTTCAGCCGTTGTATACACTCCTGCACCAATACGGATTATATCTCGTATGCAGAGATCCCTTTGCCACTTGACTCATTGTGATAGTTGCGTTAGAGATTTATCAGATATTAGGGACATGGTGTACAACCACCCGACAATCATTCGTTTGCAGCCCCAAAATTTACCAACTAGCCGATTGAACACCATAAGTGCTTTAGAAGCATGGTTAGGTCAACATGCTGCTTCCTCCGCAGAGTGGAATCCAGCGTGAAACATCATCATCTCTATCTCTCTGCATTCAAGAGCAGAGACCTGCGTCTCGTAAACGGAACGATGGTGGACTTCGAAGGAACATCCTTTTAACTCGATAGACGAGATGTGTTGGCAACTTTTTTAATCCTTATAAAAATTGTTTTGTGAAAGCAATTTCTTCATTTAGATACTAAACAAAGGTACACCGCGCTAAACCAGAGGAATTCGATGGATGGTGCAACAGTCGCAGTCTGATTCGACCTCATTTGCCGTGTCGACCACCTAGATTTGAGCTGGTGCTTTCCCATAGGGGGGAGCTCTTCGCAAATGATACCGCTTTTCTGGTCTTCTAAGTGGAATCGACTTAATAATAAATTTTTTGATTATCAATAGCTACGCTCGCCTGAATACAGTATAATTCAGGCGGAGAAGCTACAGTGAAGCTAATTTTCTTCCGCTTCTGGGATGCTTGAAGACCTTATCGACCAGACTACAGACGCAACTGACCTAAAAAACACTGACGCCATTGAAAGAGGAGCTACGAACCTATGTTCTGCATGCAATTAGTCCCTTTACGACCTTTATTCGGAATGGGTCCGGACTTTATCTGTCCAAAGGCTGTTATTTCAGCCATCTAACTTTGTTTAGATCAACTAATCCCATTTGGCTGTGGTCGGATCCCATCGAAAAAGCTCGTTTACTAGATCTCCCGTTACAATCTCAGCGCTTTGTTCCCTTATAAGGAGATATCAGGGTTATGGCCTATAAAAACTTTGCTTACTAATATACGTATGTGTATTCGAATGTCACCGACGGGAAAAACTGTCATAGTCTCGAACTAGCTGACGACTCCAGCTGCTTAACAAGGAGAGTTTACATTGTCACATAAAAGTACCCGGAAATTGTAAATAGAACGCAAAATATTTAATTATTCATCAACATTTATATTGATGCCTTCAAAGCAACCAGCTTTACCCAAAATATCCACCAAAACCTTTCGAACGGACTCGCGTAATAAGTCGAGCCTCGAGCCATTTTTCTAACACTTGCCTCACGTTTTTCAAACACTATATCCACCACTTTTTTAATATTTTCATCAGTTGAGGAGGTCGAAGGTCTTCCAGAACGAGGCTTATCTTCAACGGTCTCTCGACTGTCTTTGAATCTCTTTGATCTCGTAGACTTGTTTTTTTTGATAAAACTGAATCACAGAAGCCTTTTCCAACATTCGCAACGATTTTGCACACGAAATTTGGTTAGAAATATGTAATTTGAGACAAATTCTTTGTTCAACATTTTTATTCATTGTAAAATCGCAACACACTCCTGAGGTGTACCGACTTAAGCAGCTACTGGAAGCAAACTGGTATTCAAGTATAGTCCTACCAACTTAGCAAAATACATTTTTTTTTTTTAATTTCATTTCATCCCGGGGTATTTAGGTACATTTGCCGTGTACGTTTTGGTCCCCATGTATATCAAAAGCAATTTAATTTCATGCATGAGTTCTTACTAAATTTATGATACTCACATTAAATCCGGATGCAGTTGTTGTACTTTACGGCATTGCGATAATTTGGAAAGCGTTATCAGCACACGATGGAAATTCGTTAAATCGTACAGCATTGTGGGCTCGAAGAGATCCGAATCGCGCAGTCCAAAATGGTTGCGGCAAACATCGAGAAAAAGTTTGATATTTTTACAGCACAAGAACTGAAATGAAAGAAACAAAAACACGTTGATGATAAATGGATATTTTTATGTACATATATATATCGACTTATGTATATAATTGTATGTCAATATGCAGCAAAAATGTAAATCGAGCATAGACTCGCAAAAACTCCACAATTTATTTGCAAATAAAAAGTTTTCAATGGCTCTCAATTTCACAGAACGGTCATCAACAAAATTACATGGACACTAAAGTGAGGTGGAAAGTAAACGAGTGAAATAAATGGAAAACCACAAAAATTACTACGCTGTGGGATAAATTATCAGTGTACAATAACGGAATTCTGATAAATACGTAATTGAAAAGTTAATGGCTGGAAAAACGTACGAGTTTTTTTCAAGATAGTTAATTTACTATATTTTAAGTTTGATACAGACTGAGCAAAAATTATAATTAATTAATGAAACATTATCGATGGCATGTGACAAGCCAATTTGTGCCAGTTCAGTACGGTCACTCTATTAAATTAAGAAATTATATACACTTTGATAACTTTGTATTTGTAAGTCATTCTTTAAACTCATCATTACCATTATCACATTTTATTGATTATCTCTTGCCAATTACAATTTGTTGTGCATTCAATAATTGATTTTTGTGTTGCAATATTTTTTGTTTTTTTCTAAAATTTTCGGTATTAAGAATCACGTTCTTCCTGCGAAGAGATAATTATTTTCTGCAAAAAAATCACTCACTGACAAAGTGGACTATAAGTTTAGTTTGATCAATGAGTAACTTGACAGCGCAGATAAAACGAACTGTTGATAGTAACAACAATATGGAAGTTTCTATTTCAGTCTAGGCATAAGATAAACAAGAAAGAAACTGCAAATGTATGGCTCTTAGGAAGCTTTCCATACCATAATTTCAAATCTAAAACTTACCAATCCACATGGGATTAGATCTTGAAAAAAAACAGCCCTTGGCCGCATAATATCCGTGTCAATTCCGGGAACGTGTAATACCGGCTGTCATAGGAATCTACGAGACATCTCGTGAAAAACATGCAACGAGTCCCCGCATGACTCTAACCACCTCTTTGCATGTCCAGCTAAACCTACACATTTGACATCTGAACTTATCTGAACCTTCCGTCCTAACGGGGACCGGTTGTACCCTTACAACAATAACAACAAGGAATTTCGTGAATATATCTTGTCAAAGAAAAAGTTTTCCATACCAAGACTTGATTTTCAACGATCAGTTTATATGACAGCTATATTTTATAGTGATTCGATATCGACAGTTCCGACAAATGAGCAGCTTCTTGGCGAGAAAAGTATGTAAGCAAAATTTCAGGTTAATATCTCAAAAGTTGAGGCAAACTTCACACAACTCTTTGCGATTATAACGACATGAGTTTGTGAGAAAAAAACAAGCTTAAACAGTAAAGAAAGAAGTACTAGAAGTATAAACGAGTAAAGTGTATGCAGTCTGAGTGCGACTACAGAGCTCATTCTATAAAGGAACTGACAAAACACTTTTTGGTAGCAGCTGCAATTTCTTGAAACAGGAAAGGATTTCACCGAACTTTTTTCATCGTATCTTAAGTATTCAGGGTTATGACTATTTTTTATTTCAGTTAATGCGAAGATTACTGCTCGCATACCGTTTATTTTGATGTCAAAGAACCAAAACGCTGGAAGGCCAATTCTCGAAAATATCGATAGAAAGAAAAGAAATTGACGAGTTCCGATATCGCAAAAAATCAAGTGCAACCATTTAAATAATAGTGGATACAAAATGAAGCTCAATGTGAAGGCGGAGCAGGACTTAAAGAAAGAATAAACAGCTGAACCGAATTTCTATCTGCAATTCGTTGCGTAATCAAATTGATTAATTTCCGAAGCGACTGGTGTCTGATTTGGACGAAGAATGTTTTTCACTTCGACTACAACTATTTGAAATTTTCGCGAAAGTTTCAGTGAAAATGTAAAAATGTGTGCCAAAAATCCATTTTCAGTTTTATTTTCTTCGGTCGAGTTGTAAGATAAGGTTTTAACTAAAAACCTATTACGAAATAATTGTTGAAAAAATTTTGTTTTTTTTTCCCGATGAACCCATGTAACCCCTTAAACCAGAAATAATATTTTTTTAAATTTATTGAACAGATGTTCAATTTAAAAGCACAATTTGAGTAAAAACTGTCTTCTTTATCAAGCCGATTTCAATACCAAGAAATGAATAGTCACAGTATCGACTTTAGATGCAACCGTGGGCGACAGAGGTAAAATGGCATTTCCATTTACTTCATCTCGCTTTAGTTCAAGACTTAATTGGCATAATAAAATCAAATTGTTGCAAATTCTTCGAAAAATGTTTGAAAGCAAATAAAATGCGCACGTTGAATAGCAGATAATAGCTGCTGATTGTACTCGGAAATCTGTGATACCGTAAAACAATCACGGGAACTGCGCAACCTGGACGAGCGAACAGGTGTGTTCGAACGAAAGTTCTGCATTATTTTGATTGAAAGCAGAAGGAAGTTTTTATGCCAGTGCCTAGCTGATAGCAGTGAGAAGCATATAAATAGGAGTAGACGCGCACAGATGGTGCACTTGGGTGGTGGCACAGCTCATAAATGGCATGCGTGTGTGTGTGTGTGCGATAGTAAATTGGGGTTTTGAATGACCGCAACGGCTGCGCAAGCTGCTGAGCTGGCGTTTAAGTTTATGACCAAATGCAGAATAAAATCATGAAAGTGTTATAAACCCACCAAATACACCGATGTATATATATACATACATATGTATATACATGTTAAGATGTGTTAGTATAACGAGCGAAAATGCAACTGCATTGGCTTCTATATCGCTTTATAGCGAATCCATATTAACTCGTAGAGTTTAAATTGGATTTCCGTAGCAATAAGGATCTGAGCAAACACCTACACACACGCATATGCACAACACGTGCTGCATACTAGCAGCTGGCAATATCGTCAACACATCTCGTCTTGCAGTGTCATGCAAGCTGAATACAATAACACAAAAATAAAGTCAAATAAAATAAAATAAATTGCTGAGCAATGACGCCAGCAAAGCGCCAGCGACACATTGACACAGATGGCACCTCTCTACATATGCATGCATGGATGTGCGTGTGCACAAAGTGCAAGTCGAAGTTGACCAAAAGTGTTTCCTTCTTAGCAACAAATATTACAACAACTACAACAGTTACACCAACAGAGTGCAAACGCAGAAGCCACAAAATTCATTTTGGCCAGCAGCGCATGGACCGAACCGGACCGGATGCAGCTGATAACACAAGTAGCTGTTCAAAGTCGATTTGGCGCAAACTTGTTAAATGTTAAGTGCACCGCACAACGGTTCATCTGTAGTTGCATATATGCGTATGTATATACTTGTGTGTGCTATGAGCAAATCGCTAAGTGTCCGTTCCAAATGCGATGAAATTGCTTCGAGTGAAAGTACCAGTGTACTAGAGGAGCCACAATTCCTTGGAAATCTTTTTTACGAGCAATATATGAAGAGAATTAGAATTTAGGGCTCACATGCACACATGCATATAGTATATCAAAGTATTTTTGTAGAATACGAGTATTGGCAGGTTGTTTAAAGTGGCCTTGTGGCTATGTGCTTTGCGTATGTGATAGATTTAGGTACATACATACGAGTTTAAAATACAAATATTTTTTTTTAAGCTAAGCCGAAAAAATCCTCCTAGAAATTTACATAATAAAAATAATATAGAATTTATTTTCCTGTTGGCATTTTTCGTACCAAGGATTAGAGACCAAGTTGTTTGAGAGTTGTAAAAATAATTTCAAAAAATTTCGAAAAGAGTATACGGAAAATTATTTTTCTATAAATTAAAGTTTTTTTACAGACTTCATATATAATATTTGCTTTCTTAATTCTATTTACAACAAAACACATTTCTCCAAGAAAAAAAGTATTGAACTTTTAATCCAGAACTAAAAGAAAATTAATAGTTTGTCAAAAAAGTCTTGCGGTATTTTTATTGAATTTTTTTCAATTTTCAATTGTTCATAAACTTTTTTTTGATGACTTATGCCCAGCTCTTGAACGATGCTACGGCTGCTACTATGCCGGTCTCTTTCGGCCAATTCAGCGATTTTATCGCAATTTTCGACGACAGGCCTTCCGGAGCGTGGCGCATCTTCGACCACCTCTACACAAGAACGAAAACGTCGAAACCATCGTTGCGCGGTGGAAACGGAAACTGTATTGGGTCCATAGACTGCAGAAATTTTATTGGCGGCTTGACATGTATTTTTGCCGTTATCGTAGTAGTACTGTAAAATATGCCGTATTTTCTCTTTATTTTGCACCATGTTTGCGACGCTATAACTCACGGACTTAAAAGAAACGACAATCAATCAAACACGTGTTAGCGCATGAAATGGGCTTTCCAAAAAGGTACAGCATGACCCGATGCGACGAATAAAACTAGAACTACGCGCTCTCAGCGCCAACTAGCGAAAATACCGCAAGACCTTTTTGACAACCTAATATTTCAAAAGTAATGCCAAGCTATGAATATATGATCAAATTTGACCCGGACTGACAGGAAAAGAAATATTTCCAAAGACTTTAGAACGAATCTTTACTATCGCTTTCAAAATTATGTTCAGAGCCAATACAATTATGCCTTAATAGCTTAAGCGTTAAATTTTCCATACACTTGTAATAAAGAGGTTTTTCAATAGGGCACTATAAAAGTAGACAAAAATAAAGGACGCCATATTTTTCCCCACTCTTTTAACATTTATCTTCGGTAAGGTTTGCCATTGCATCATGGAAATATATATGATCCACAGCCGAAAGCCTCCGACGCTAGCGCTGCGTTATCTTTAGTTTATGTAATAATTTCATTGTTATGTAAACTTTTATAAAATAAAAAAAAATATAATAAAAAAAAAAAATAAAATAAAAAAAAAATAAAATAAAAAAAATAAAAATATATGATCCAACAAGGAGTAGAAATTATTAAA